TAACATGTACAAAGGAGAAGATCCGGGGTGTGTTTGTGTATGCGAGTATAGAAGCTGACAAAAGGAAGGAGCAATGGGATGAGTTAATTAGAAAAAGTAGGGTGTGGGGGAGGAAATGGTTTGTAGGTGGTAACTTTAATGATATTAGGGAGGCAGCGGAAAAGAGAGGGGGAAGGGAGAGGGGTGAAAGAAGGTATGAAGGATTCAGAGAATTCATAAATGGAATGGGGATGGAGGAAATGAGGTTTAAGGGGAGGATGTGGACATGATCAAATAATCGATCTGGGGATGAATTCATAAAGGAAAGGCTTGACAGATTCTTTGGGTCTATTAGTTGGTTGATGGCAAATGATCAATCTATAGTCCAACATGTAGATCGGCACTCATCGGACCATTGTATGTTGGTTTTGGATACTGTGGCTGGGAGATTGAGAAAGAAGAGTAGGTTTTACTTTGATAAACGTTGGCTGGAAAAAGATGGAGTGCAGGAGGTGGTAAAAAATGCATGGAATACAGAATGCTATGGGTCCCAAATGCATAAAGTAGCAGCCAAGATTAAAAGACGTAGGATGGAACTGAATAAGTGGAGTAGGGATAAAATTTTAAACTCAGCTAGAGAAATAGAGAGATTAACTAAGGAAATGAATCCGATGAAGGAAGAAGGACGAGAGAGAGATTGGCGAAGGTGGGAAGCTAAAGGATCTACTACATAGAGCATATGAGGCTGAGGAGACTTACTGGTACCAAAAAAGTAGAAACAACTGGCTCAGAGAAGGGGACAAAAACTCAAGTATTTTTATGCTTCCACAATGGAGCGAAGAAAGATCAATAAAATAGAAAGACTGGAAAAAGAGGATGGCAGCTGGTGTGAATCTAAAAAGGAAATAGAGAAGAAATAGGGCAGTTTTATAGTGACCTGTTCAGTTTAGAGGATTCAGTAGGATGGGAAGAAATGTTGGATGGGATACCTACCACTATCACAATTCAAATGAATGCAACACTGATACGTCCAATTGAGGATGTTGAATTCAAGAGTCTTGTGTTTTCAATGAACCCAAACAAAGCTCCCGGGATTGATGCTATGTCTCCCCTGTTTTTTTAGCATTTTTGAAATATTATTAAAGATGATGTATGCAAAGCTGTCAAAAGTTTCTTTATGTCTAATCATATGTTAAAGACGTTTAATTATACACTCATTTCTTTTATCCCAAAAAATTATGAACCCCACAAAAGTGTCTCAATTTAGACCAATTAGCTTGTGCACTGTAATGTATAAAATTGTTTCAAAAATCTTGGCTGAAAGGTTGAAACCAATGCTACCGTTTTGTATAGGAGAAAATCAGTCAGCGTTTTTAGCAGGGAGGCAAATTCTAGACAATGTAGCTATTGCCCATGAATACATCCATTATCTTAATAATCTTAGGACTGGAAAGAAAGGTTTTGTGGCTATTAAATTAGATATGGCTAAAGCTTATGCTAGAGTGGAATGGAGTGGAATGGAGATTCTTGTCAAATATGCTGATCAGAATGGGTTTTGACCTTAGATTTGTTGGTTGGATAATGCAGTGTATTAAGTCAACATCCTTTTCTTTCAACCTGAATGGGGAACCAAAGGGATACATAAAACCAGCTAGGGGGCTTAGACAGGGGGACCCTTTATCACCTTACTTATTTCTTATTGTTTCTGAAGCATTTTCAATTTTATCAAGATCAGCAACTAGTAGGGGGGAATTAAATGGTCTGAAAATCAGTGTTGAGGGTCCTGAAATTTCACATTTGTTTTTTGCTGATGATGCATTGCTGTTTTGTAAAGCTAAAGTGAACCAAATACAGTGTGTGAAGAAGGTACTACATCAATATGATGTTTGCTCTGGTCAGAAAGTGAATTGGGACAAGTCTTCACTCTTTTTCAGCAAGAACATTCCAAGCTGGAAGAAAGGACTGATATGCAATAAGCTGAATGGTATTGAGGTGCAATTGAAGTCCAAGTACTTGGGGTTGCCACTGGTTATAGGTCGATCCAAGGTTGAGGTCTTCAGATTTGTAGAAGAAACAGTGATAAAGAGACTAAAAAGCTGGAAAAGTAAGCTATTATCCCCGGTAGGTAAGGAAGTTTTGTTGAAAGTTGTGATTCAAGCACTGCATGTTTATACTATGTCATGCTACAAATTGTCAGAAGGTGTTTGCGGAAAAATAGAGAAAAGCATGGCTGAGTTTTGGTGGGGAGATAAAGAAGGGAAAAAGAAAATACATTGGGGAGCTTGGGGGAAATTGGCAAAGGAAAAGGTGGTAGGAGGGCTGGGTTTTGGAAGTCTTAGTCTAAAAAATAAAGATTTACTGTCCAAGCAGGTGTGGAGACTGATTAACGAACCAAATACATTGATGGAAAAGGTTATGAAAGGGAGATATTATCCACACTGTTCTATTTTTGAGACTAAAAAAAAAGGCAAATACTCTTGGCTTTAGAAAGGGTGGCTTAGTGCCAGGAGGGTGATCCAACAGGGGATGAGATGGAGGATTGGAGATGGGAGAAGGGTGAATAGATGGAAGGATAAATGGCTCCCCAGTACCTGTGTGGTGGGCCCAATTAGAAGAGGAGAGAATGGCAGTAATCCGAAAACAGTCTCACAGTTGATTGATCATGAATCTTCCCAATGGAAAACCGACCTCTTAAACGAAATATTCATTCAAGAGGAGGTAGAAATGGTCCAACAAATACCGTTGAGCATGATGGGGAGCTATGATAGGATAGTGTGGGGGGAGCAAAAAACTGGGCAGTTCTCGGTGTCATCAGCAACAAAATTAGTACACAAGAGAGAAGAGGTGGCTTGCAGGGAAGTGGAAACGAGTTATTCAAGAGAAGAGAAGAAAAGAGTGTGGTCAAGAACTTGAAGTTTACCTGTTAAAGCAAAGCTGAAGCATTTCTTCAGGAAACTGTATAAGGGATGGCTACCAGTAGGTACTGAACTGGGTAGGAGGGGAATGAAAGTAGATGAAACTTGTAAATTGTGTGGCAGTGGGGCTGAAACAATTGAACATACTTTGTTTAAGTGTCAGCTGGCTGAAAAGGTGTGGAAATTGGCACCAGTACAGTGGGACGGGCTCCAACACTTGACAGGGAAGTTTGTGGATTGGTGGGGTGCTATCATTAAAGCTCAGAAATGCTCAGCCTTTCAAGACAGAATTTCCATTTCAATGTATATTATTTGGCAATTGTGGAAGGCAAGGAATATGTGGCAATTTGAGGAAAAAAGAAGTGAATGCTGGGAAGTGATACAAAGAGCACTAAAAGAATGGAATGAGTTTCAGCAAGCACAAGATGGTAGAGGAAAGAAGGAGACCAAGAAAACAACGCAGTCTATAATCAACAGTGGCAAAAACCAGTGGAAGGCTTTGTGAGAATTAATGTGGCATTAGACAGAGTGGTGGGTAAACAAGGTGCTGGGCTGGCTTTTTGCATAAGGAATGAGGAGGGTGGTCTGCTATTAGCTAAGTCTGTTTTTAAAAGCCATATAATGAATGATCATGCAGCAGAATTAGAAGCAGTAAGGATAGCAATGATGGAAGCCCAGAAACAAGATATTCAGAACATAGAAATGCAATTAGATGTTAAGGCTATGGTGACTTGGTTACAAGGGTATATTGCCCCTGTTTCAAATGTTTCAGTCATAGCTGAAGACATCTTCTTACTAAAAAATACTTTTACTATATGTAAATTTATGTTTATTAGAAAACAATAGAACTCGACATGCCACAATCTAGATAAATTAGGCTTATCTAGCACTTGTTCACAAAGTTGGGAAAGTAATGCCCCTTTGTGGCTAGATGAAGCGTTTAAAGCGGATTGTAATAGCTCCCTGTAAATTTCTATTACCTTTTTTTTCAATTGAAATATGAATATCGTCTTCGACAAAAAAAAAAAAGAGAGAGAGAATGTCTTCAATGTGATAATTCTTCATTAGTCAACCCTTGTTAGCGCTCTTACCTAGTCTTCGATGTGATAATTACTCTCCTTTTCCCACAAAATTAGTACACATATTGAGTTTTGAGATTTATAATGTATATTAACAAATACTCCTCTGTCTCAAAAAATTATTCCATATTAAACTATGATATTTGTACAAAAAATAAGACAAATTTTGAAATTCGATGTGAATTATTTTTAGTACGAGGAAGTATTTATTTTAATATGAATGCTAAATTGATTAACTAATAAAGGATAGATTAGTTAGTTTGCAACATGTCTGAGATATCCTTTTTACTTATTTAAAAGCCCCTATTCCTTATAATCTCTCCATTAAAATCAAATTACAAAAAACATTTATTCTCCTTACTCTTATAGTTGTAAAAATAAAATTTCATCTTAAAAAAAAATCATTATGGAAATATATCATGTTTTTATAATTATGTATCGATCTTCGACACCAGGGCGGCAGTTGTTAGGAGTGTGACACTAGTATATGCTAATTAAATATATTTAATTAATATATTCATTCCATTTCTTTTGAATATTATTAGACATCAATACAACTCTATACAAACTAATAAAATTAATCAGTTTTAGAAATACATCTCAAATATGTTTCCACTGAAGTACTTTATAATATCTCTTATTTACTTTTTTGTTATCTTCAACGATATTATATTCGAAAGCAGCTTTAGTAAGTGGAGGTTAACTACCGTATCATCAAAATATGTTAAGACTTAAGAGCCTAACAAACTTCTGGGTCCGATTCCTAGATTCCAGGAAATATCTCAAAGGATTAAATTTAATTCCATATCCCCCATATGACAATTAAGCCAATTTAAAAAATAAAAATAAATCTATATAAAAAAATCCAAATCCGAAAAAGGGACGAAAAGAAAGGAGCCCCTATAAATACAAGGAAGGAGCCAGCCCTAGGTTTTCTGCCAAATTGTTGAAAGTTCTTTTTCAATTTCCATTAATTATCTATGTTTGATTACACCTGGGAAAAAAAAATCGAAAAAACCACCTGATCATGGCGGAAGTGACTCGCCGGACTAGCTCTTCGGTCATCTCCGGTAATAAATTCCGTTCTAAGACTCCGTCGTCGTGTCCTTTCTCTTGTACGACTTCCGCTACAGGCTTCTCTCCTCGCTCAAACCCTAGATCTCTGATCGGGAGGTCACCGTCGCCGTCGCCGGCGACTCGTCTCAGTACCTACAATCCAGTGACGTCGGTGGACCGGGAGAATTACAGTTCCCCGGCGGCGACGAACAAGAACAGGGGAATCTCGGGTCAATTTCCAAACCCGCCTCCGAAGCGGGCTTGCATGTGCGCCCCGACAAACCATCCCGGGTCGTTTCGTTGCAAATTGCATAAGGGCGGCGGCGGCGGTAATATCTATAACACTTCTCCTAATTCTGTTTCTTCCGGCGGTGGCAATTCGAATTCCAAAGGCGGCGGCAGGTTGATTCTGAGGCGGTTGGCGCTGTTTATTTCGTTGTCGAGGATCGGAGCGGCGGTGGAAGCCCGTAGTTTAGCAAAGAGATCAGCCTCGCTTACTACTACTTCAATTTGGCCATCGCCTTTTCAGCAGAGCCGACGTGTGGATGCCCAAAGGCGGCGGCGGCCCAGCCGTCTCTCGATCATGTCTAAAGCATGAAGATGATTCCATAAGATTCGAGAAATTTCAGAGTTAGGGGGGTGTACATATGGTGTGCTGTGGAGGTTGATGATGTTCGGAGTCGGCCGGACGTTTTATTTTGGTGTCTCCGGTGACGGATAAGTCTCCCGCCATAATAGTCTTGATTCTTGCCTTTTGTTTCTCTTGCACTAGCAAAGTGTATAGTTTTTTTTTAGCGCAAAACTCTGCACAGGGCCGACAAGATTCTTAAGATTATGTTAATTTACTCTTTTGTTTTGTCTACTGAATTAATGTATAGTAGTTCTGGATTTTGTTGAATTGTGTGCATGGTACTTTTGGTTTTTAATTACATTTGCCAAAAACATATGCACTTTTGGTCTTTCATGCCATCAACCAAATCTATGTACAAGATTTTTTTTGGGTTGGTATATATACCATGTGGCATACTCAGTAACTCAGACTAATGAATATAGGGAAAATGATGACAAAACTCAGACTAATGAATATAGGGAAAATGATGACAAAACTCCCCCCAGTTATGTCTCAAAGATTAATACCACCAGTTTTCCTATAAGAACAATTTCTCCCCTTGACCTCCAATCAACGCCATAATTGACTCCCTTGAGAGTTAAAATGACAAAAATACCCTTCTATCTAAAAATAATTTTTTTGATCCATATTTTATCTTCTTCTTTTTTTCAATGACTTATTTTTTTTAAACAAATCATTTGAAAAATTTATTTAGGAATAAAAATATTCACCAATTTTTGTTACAAACAATTTTTTTCAAAAAATAATTCATTTTTGTAAAAAAAACTAATTTAGTTAGGATTGAATTTTGTTTGCAAAAAAATATATAATTTGTCCAAAATTTAGCATAATTTCAACATTATTCATCTTTTAATTTTTTCATTATTAGTAAAATCAATGTAGAATATGGTTGAAGTCTATCATTTTTTAAAAAAAAATTCAACCATAGATAAATTAAACAAAATGGGTTTTGAATAAATCTTATCCTCAAATAAATGTTTCTTATTCTTAAATAATATGTCTTCTATATAAATAAATCTTTTGATGATTTGTTAAACAAAATAAATTTTTGAAAAAAGATAGAACTTGTCCACAACAATTTGTTTTAAGATGAAAAAGTAATTTGGTCATTTTTACCCTCAGGGGGGTCAATTATGGCGTTTAATAGAGGTCAGGGGGGGAAATTGTCCTAATAGAAAAATTCGGGGTGGTATTAGTCTTTGGAACATAACTCGAGTAGGTTTTTGTCCTTTTCCCAAAATAGAGAGTAACAAAAGAGAGAACCCTTTTTCCATTAAATTAAAGGGAGGTGATTCTGCCAAAACAAAATCTAGCATCCAGGACAAAATTTAAGTAAGAAGACATAATAACCCTCCATAAAAATGAGAGCATTTTTCATCATCTTCTTCACCTCTTAGCTCCGCTCGTCAAACCCACAGAGTATCGCGGCCGCCGCCGCAAGGGAAAACAAAAAAACCAAAGTTTTTGAAATCTAGAGTTCTCGCCTATCTCATACAGAGCCCTGTGTTCCCATTCTTCATCCCAAGAAAAAGAGAGAAAAATTAGTTTTTTTGCTCTTAGTATTACATACTTCAATCCAGTTGAAACCAATAATTAAACGTTGAAACAATCAAATAAATTTTTTGCGATTGGAAAAGAATCACCAAATCCTAATTTTTAATTGGCTGGCAATTTTTTACTATCAATGTAACTTGTATGAATAAAGACATTATGAACTACCTTATTTTGATTATTTCACCATTTGTTTTTGCTTAAGCGTCCAATTGTTTGTTTGCAATAAAGGGTTTTGTAATTGGGATTTAGAGATTCTCTTCATATCGTAAAAAATTTATTTAATTGTTTCAGCACTAAATTATTGGCTTTAACTGGATCGAAGCATGTAGAGTGAAAAAATTAGTTTTTCTCTTTTTTCTTGGAATGAAGGATGGGAACACAAGGCTCTCTATGAAATAGGTGAAAACTTTGGATTTCAAAAATTTTGCTTTTTTTTTGTTTTCCCTTGCGGCGGCAGCCGCAAAACTCCGCGGGTTTGAGGAGCAGAGCAAAAAGGTGAAACTCCGCGGGTTTGAGGAGCAGAGCAAAGAGGTGAAGAAGATGATGAAAAATGCCCCTATTTTTATGAAAGGTAATTATGTCTTCTTACTCAAATTTTGCTCTGTATGCTAGATTTTGTTTTGACAGAATCACCTTCCTAAATTAAATGAATACTATGAAAATACAGACTCTTTCCTTTCCAATTTTGACTATCTTATTTGCTATAAGTAGTATTGGTGCAATGTTCCAATTATCCTTAAATAATAGCCATGTACAATACATTATCTTCTCAATCATAGTTCCAAGTTATATTTATTAAAGGAGAAATTTTCTCGGAGTTCAACATGGTGAGATTTGCTACAATGTATCAATAATACTTAGTATGATGAGGTGAGTCCGATTCAAATTCAGTTGCTTTTGATATTTATGAATATACACGTATCCCAATGATCAGAATGAAACTCTAGTGTTTATATGGAATTATCTGGTTTTTGGTATTACATATGAGAGTTGTTGGATTTTCTACAACTCTCATATGATCTGGTTTCTGGTTCTGCCGCTGGTCTTTGAGTGCCTATAGGTTGCTCATTTTGTTCTTCAACTTCTACTCATGACAAATGGCACGATAAATGGTTGCCCCAAGCTCCATATATCCAAAGAAGGCCGGAAAACAATCCATTCTACTGTACTATTTTACTTCACTATAATGGATCACTATTTTTATAAGAGGAGGAAGTACATAATATTGAAACCTGTATATTCTCAAAATAAAAATAAAAATGTTGAACTGTGTAAAAAGATACAAATCATATGTTATTAACGACACTTTTCTCCCTACCTTCCCCCTATCATTGCTATCCCTCAGACCCTCACTCATTCTTCTTCTTCCTTAAGCTGGATTTTTAACCCTCTAATCACATTCTCCATTTGTGGATTCATAAGTTACTCTTAATTTATTTATAATTAATGTTGAACCCCCCAAAAAAAAAGAATTCTTCATCAATATGATTGAATTTGAAAGATTAAGATTTGTAAAATGGAGGGATGAAAATGTTAAAAAAACATTTAACATGAAAAAAAATATGAAAATTTAGACTAAAATTTTAAAGGAATCTTTTTTAAAAAATTCGGGCCAGGGGGCAACTGCCCCTATTGGTCCCCTAGCTCAGCACTAGATTGAGATCGTGAGTTCCAAAACTATTTATGTAAAGGGCGCTATTATTTGGGGCTACTGAAAAAATTACACTAAATAGCATTACGAGATTCTTGTTTAATTAATACTAAGGCTTTTTCCAAAGGTTTCTTTCTCTCTCTCTCTCTCTCTTTTTTTTTTTTCTTTTAGCATTCATTCTGTTATAGAATACAATAATGATCTTTCACCGAACGTCGAACCCCAGATTTTGCTACACATTCATTGTTAAATTTCAGAATGCACAAGGAAATGTAGATTTTTCTAGGAGACTCCTGTATTATTATTGTTACGATGGTTATTATTGTCTTTGAACCTTTTTAATAATGTTAATTGAAAACCTTTAGGAAGTGGAGGTTACGTACTCCTAAATTCCAGGAAATATCAAAGAATTAATTTCAATTCATACCCCATATGGGAATTACCAAGACAATATTAAAATTGTTTTTTTATTAAAAAAAATAGACCGAAAAGTGAAAGGAAAAGGAATAAAAATGAAAGCAGTATTAAAAAAACTACTATTAAAAAAAAAACCGAAAAGTGGAAGGAAAATGAAGAAAAAGGAAAGCAGTATAAATATATTGGAGGAGGGAGCCAGCTGAAGCTGCTTTTACCATATCACACTCTTATCAGTCTCTCTCCGGCGGCAAGAAACCCGTTGTAGTTATGGCAGAAGCCATTCGCCGGAGTCCCTTTGTCTCCCCGCCTTCTGGAAAATTCTATTTTCCTAAAACTCCGTCGTCGTCTCCTTTCGCTTGTTCCAACGCAGCCTATCCCCCAGCTCGATCAAAACCTAAAGCTCTCTTCGGAAGATCATTGTCACCGCCGGCGGTGGCGGCTACTCTTATCAATCTCTACAATCCAACACAGTCTATCCGGTTTTCGTTGGACCTTAACAATAAGAATTATAATCCCCCCAACCGCTCAATTTCCGGATCATGGACGACGACGGCGAAGAAGAATAACAACAACGGAACAACAGCGGTTCAATCTCCAAAGCAAACTCCGCCAAAAAAATCTTGTATGTGTTCTCCGACGAACCATCCCGGTTCGTTTCGTTGTAAATTGCATATTGGCGGGAATAAGGCTTCTCTTTCTAACGGCGGGAACAATAATGGCGGTAGCGCGCCATGTAATAATATTTCGAATTACAACCGGTTGATTCTGAGGCGTTTGGCGCTTCATAATTCGTTGGGAGAAATCAAACCGGCGAAAGGCGATGATTTACTAGTAAAGAAGGCGTTGGCTTCTACTACTTCAATTTGGCCACCGCCTTCTCAACGTAGCCGACGCGGGAACTTCAATTTCAAACCGCGCCCCAGCCGCCTCTCCATCATGTCTAAAGCATGAAGATTCTTCATTCGATCGAGATACCTTGAAGAAACCGGCAAGGGTTAGGACGAGAAATGGTTTAGGAATCTTCAGGTGGTTCGCTGTGGTAGAGAATTTTGGTGTCTCCGGTGGCGCAAACTTTCCGGCACGGCAGACTTTTTGTCTCGTCCCATCATTTTTTAATTTATTATTATTATTATTATTATTATTATTATTATTATTATTATTATTTTGAATATGGATGAATTGCTGTTATTTTCTGATTTGGATACTTTATTAGTACCACTACCACAATCCTTAACACGAATCAGAACTCGTTCTCTTAATTAATGATCTAACTGTTAAAATTATTTCTCAATCAATGAGAATTGTGATCCTACTTGGATAATTGAGTAACCATTTTAAATTTTAATGAATAAACTTATGTTTTAAAAACCGGATCGGAAGATGGACCGACAACTTAACTGAGTTACTGGTTTACTGATTTGACCGGTTCAAATTGATCTCCGAAACTAAAATTAAAAAAAAAAAAAGTTTTTAAAAAATCCGATTCAACCGGTACCAATTCCCGGTGTAACCATGATTTGACCTAGTTTGATCGGTTCTTAATTTAACCGATTATTTACTGTAACTGGACCAAGAATGCCTCCGATTCTGGTCGACTACTTCAACTGCCTGATCCGGTCCGGTTCTCAAAACAGAGAAAAAATCTTTTTATGTTTCAAAAAAATAGTCCACATTGAGTTTTGAATTTTTGTACAACTTTTAATACAAATTTGAAAACTTAACATGAACTACTCTCTCCATTCTAAAATATGTCTTTTTAGGAATTTCACCAATACCAATAAAATATTAAATCATGTGTTTAAAATACAAAAGTACCCTTATTTATTATCCATACAACTCATCCCTAACCAATACAATTTCTTTTACATAATATTTTCATTTTAAATGTAAGGTTAATATTAGAAAAATAGATAAAATTTCCTCAATTTTGTAAAATGACATATTTTGAAAAATCTTAAAAATCCTAAAATGACATATATAAAAAATGGAGGGATTATTTTCTTAGAACTGAGGGAGTAGAATAACAAGGTAGGAGGTAGTTACTTGACTTTGTAAATTGGTCTAGCTTATCATCTCTTTCCATAGGTTGAAATAGTAATAGAAAAGTACTCATCTGGTCTCGAAATAATTTAGTTCGAGTGTATTTTTTTATTAATTATAATTAGTATTGTCTTGTCCGTTGCACGTTTAATTTTTTTTGATACCGTTAAGTATTATTAGTTCTCCAAGTTTTTTATGACGATTGTTATCATCGATCATTAAATCTAAATTAATATTATATTTTCTCTCTCTAAAAAGTAATCGAAAAAGAAAGAGGATAAGTTATTATTTACTTTGTAATTTGTGATTTTAGTAATTTTTAATTTTATTTTCAGATACTTTATCCAGAATGTTTTATTCATAAATCTCATCAAGGCATAATTTTTAATATTTTTTTTGATAATTTTCATATATTTGTGATTTTAATTTTGTTCTTATGGTTTTATTTTAACTGGTAATCTGAAGGGGGAATTATCAATTTCATTAAGGCACAAGCCAATATCAAACTAATTGGGTGAATTGAATTATATAATTTTATGGGATTACGTGTTTAGATTTTACCATTAAATAAATGGTGAATAAAAATTAGCCATGCTGTTTCTAGTTTGTTGACATATTTTGTGGTTGGAGTATAAGGGTGCAGGGGCGGAACTAGGATTCCAGCACCGGAGGTGCTCTAGTTGAACTAAATATTTTCATCTATTTTCTCCATTCGTCACTAAATTCCTATGCTTTAATTTGACATGAATTTTGTGCTAAAATTTTCATTTTTTTTCATATGTTATTTAAAACAAAAATTATTGATTGAGATCGATTGGGTAGTTTGGAATTGGTTTCCATTTTTCGAATCAAAATAGTTTTATCAAAATTCCTAAGAGATAACCACCTCTCGTTATGAAATTTCATCGCAACATGCAAAATTTCAATGATAATGTTTTTTTTTTAAGAAAACTGCATAATCTATGAAAATTACGTGTATCAAATTATAAGAGAAAGTTAAATAATATAACCTAACTTTATTTATAAATTTCATCATCTAATTATAATAAAACAAATTCCTTAGAGTAAAAATCACCCAAAAAGATAGTAGAAATTTTAATAGGAAAGAACGAGAGGTAGTGAATAACAATAAATGATTGGTGGATAGGAAAAATGTGAGGGTTTAGTTGGGAAAAAATTCTATAAAAAAAACTAGCTAAAAAGAAAAATTAAGAGGGATTTTTTTAACTGTGACATAACTCAATAAAAGTATTCTGGTCAGGGAAAAAAAATAAAGAAAAAGAAGAAGATAGAGAAAGAAGGAAAGGTGCGCTGAATTGGGCCAGCCAAGAAGTAAATAGGTGGTTTTTTTTTAAAAAAAGGCCCAACTCACTATAATACACGTGCGAAGTTTACTTAAAAAAAAAAAAAGATGTTCAGCCCAAATGCAGAGCAACGCATTCTTTCTTGCATCTCTGAAACTGGGAGTTCTCAACACAAAAATGGGGCGGACATAGGGTAGTCGGAAAATGGACATAGGTTAGATGCTGCAAGTTTTTTGCGGTATGGAATTGTGCAATGCCTGATCATATTTATAATGCTTGATCGCGATGGATTAGGATTTTGCAACATTAATAATGTTAAAATCGATTGAAGATCTCTTATCCAATATCTTAATACAAAATATTTTCTGCATGTTTGACACAAATCTGTGACGTTAAAATTATGAATTGACAAATACTTATCAATTAAATGCTGTAAGTTTTTTATGTAACTTTTTAGTTTAATCGTTTTACAAGTTTAAAATGATAAAATTATTTAACTCTATCAAAATGTGAAGTAATCGATTCAATATCTTAACAGACTAGTGATGTCTGGTCGCGCAATGCTCGGCCCTGGCCCATTATATCTGTAGATATATTTATATCTGAAAAAAAAATATTTTGTATTTGGCCCGATATATTTTAAAAATATTTGAAGAATTTAGAAATGTTTTATAAGTGTGATGTTTGTATTTGGCATAAAAATAAATTGTATTTGGCCCGGTACGTTTTTAAAAATGTTTGAAGATTTTAGAAATGTTTTATAAGCGTTACTTCTTAAATATAAATAAACTTGATCAAATATATATCTTGAAGTAAATGCTAGACAAAATATAAAAACATCCTAATAAGTTTAAATATTAGTAAGATAAGATGTTCTCCATTGGTTGTGCCAAATCTATAATTAGTTTTGGAGATTTATAATAGCTTTGTAGTTAGTCCTCCAACGGGTATATGCTTAATTGTTGGAACTATTTGTTCTAAAAGTTTATAGGTAGTAAAATATCAAAAATATGATTTCGAAACTGGTTAATTGTTGAAACTGATTGATTACAAATATGAGAATGAAAATAATGTAAATTTGCATAAGTTTCAAGATATAGCAAAAAAATAACTCACCTCACCACGACAAATTAAAAAAAAGAAAGTAAAAGATAGCCCATTAAAATTTGAGATTTTTTTTTCTGTAGGTAAAAATGATGTATAAAAACACAAATAAACGTAAAAACATCATTCCTTCTCTCTCCACCTCAAATTCATAAAAAGGCTTCCCCATAAATTAGTTAAAAGAAGCGACCTGAACTATTTATATGATGAGAAACTAAAAAAAAGTCCAAAAACCAAATCCAAAAAAGTATATTCTTGAAACCCCGAATAAAAAAAAGCACGCTTCATTTGCAAATATAATAATAATAATAATAATAATAATAATAATAATAATAATAATAATAATAATAATAATAATAGTAATAATAATAATAATTGGTCAACTGGGAGTATGAAACAAAATCAAAAGCAATTAAACAAAGAAAAAACACCCTTCATAACTGGCCATATACGAAAAAAAAACCTGAGACTCCATAATTAAAAAACGAAAACCACTCTAATTGAATGAAACATAAAAAAGAAATTTAAAAAACCACACTTTGTAATAAAAACCCAATTAATCAATTCAATCCAAACATAACTAAAATCATATAAAAATTCTAAGCTAACTAACCAAATAAGAAATCACATTATATTATCTGACAACGGTTACGGTAGCTGTAACGGATGGACGCATAAAAATAATAGTAATAATACTATTCTTGAACGGGAAAAATAAAAAATAATAAAAGCTAAACCAATGATATGTGGAAATAAAATCATTTAAATTTTAATACCTATAATGCCACCATCACAACGGCCGAAGCAAGATTAATGTGAATTTTTTTTTCCCTTTGTGTTTATATAGAGAGGTAAAGAGAATATTTTTTGAAGTTGAAATTTTATCCGATTAGGATGTAGTTAATCATCACTAATGAAAATATTGAACATGCTTATAGGAAAGGAGTATATTTCACCATATACTCTCAATTGATGATTGATGAGGAATTTTTTTTTTTAATTGTGGAGAAGGGATTGATTAGGGAGTCGATTGTCGTGGAGATGGGAATGAGGATTTGGATTTTTTATGAACCTGTGGTTTTTTTTTTGGCGAAAATAGGAGGTGGAGGTGAATTTGGACTGCATTTGCCTTTTAAGTCTATGAGATGTGGAAATAAAAATTTACTTTAAAAATATGATGTGGAAATACCACATGGCAAATGGTGGTGCTTTCTCTTAAGTATGGTTTTTGTTTCTAATATAGTAAGATCTATCAAAATTTTGAAAAGAGAAATATCTTTACACCTTTTTTTATGATTTCTAAAGTTTCTCTAGCTAAAAATATACATTGATTAAATTTTTTTAAAACAAATATCTAGAAATAGTGTTCATTAGAGATTATCATCTCATATATCTCATCGTTTCACTTTAGTTACTCTAGAAATATGCACATCTCATCCTTCTCTCATCCCCTTTCCATACCTTAAACTTCATTTCTTCTTTTTATTGGTACTATTTTGGGGT